GAAAAATCCCAAATCGATCCGAAACACCTGGTCCGTTCGTCACTAGATTCAATAATCCTTTAACAACTTGATTTTTGGTACAAGACAGTGACGCAAGCAACAAGAAGTAGAGCGGATTATCATAACACGGCTTTCATGATATCACCTCACAAAAAGCGTCTTTGAATACGTAAAACGGATTTCACTTTAATTCTTCTGATAATCTGCTTTTGAATCTTCACTACTTGGTGAGAAGTTATACTCCGATATTCATACAAAGTGAGAGAAGAAAGGGGGGGGGGCAGTTGAAGTAGTTCGTCAACCCAGGAGTATCTTGTCCTCAAGGCTGGCTTAAACCTAAAAGTGAGTGTTTCCATGGATCTGACGCAATGTTACGGGCTGGTCCCCTTAGAAGCCACATCAACCAAAGGCCGAATGCAGCAGTTTAAACATCACTTTCTTCGAAAGATTATGTAGCACGGTTGAGAATCTTGTCAAACTCAACCTCTGACACGAGTTGCTCCTTTTCAAACCAGTCTTCCTTTGCAAGCAACATCTTCAGAGTACTCTCGAAGACAAAAAGGCAAAAAATATGAAGAAGAACGAAGGAAAACAAACAACACAAACCAAAAAACAACAGCCCGTGAATCACTGAGATTAAAGGACCATATTTGAGTATCAAACGGTGGTCCTGAATGGAAAAGATTTGAGCACGATTTCGACAGCGTTTGAATGAATTCCGTGCTTCCCTCGTTTTTATTGGAAATCCGCTGCGTTTCCTATTCTTTACTTAGCTTCCTTTTTAAACTTGAGAGCTTTTATTGTTGACCACTTCCTCGTATCTTATGTTCACCCACCCTTTTCCGTAAATACACTGTCGGCTCACCTAATGCCATCCGCGGGCTTCACTGTATTGAAACTATCGGCGCAAGAGCTCATTCAAATAAATTTCGCCTGGGGAGGAAGCTTGTGGGTGGGGGAGTCCGTTTACATGTGCAAGAAGGGAAATTAGTTGTATGCCAATGAAAATGTTTGTCACAATTTCAAGGGCTTGCGTGCCACTTCTCCTTATACACTTGAGTCCGCTTCGAAATCTTTGAACTGTTCGAACCCTCTATATTAATAGAGAATTCGTAACTGTTTGCATGTTATTTCAAAGATCTGTCTTTCATTTGAAGGAAATAACAAGCTGTGGAAATCAGCTATTTCTAGCAACGAATACAACTTATTCATGGTTGTTTTCAACACTCGACAGGAGAGCTGTCGTTGATTTAGTTCGCTCATTTACAGCCGGGTGAGGGGTCAAACAGAGTCAGTTCACGTGTCTCAGCGCTGGCTTGCCCGTCTTAGGCAGTCGTTCGAAAATCTGAAGTTTCTTATTTTCTGCCCTTTTGGCCTATAACCCGGTGTTGCTGCAGGGTCTCATCCAGTGGGGGCGCATGTGTTGAACAATTCATATCGCCTGAAATCCAGCTTTCAGCAAGCGAAGGGAGCTCTGTGGTGGGTGTCAAAGCGGAAGTGAGATGGCTCACATAACTCGGGGCCCTCCTTCCCTTGCAAAAGTTGCAAGTTTCTATCGTCAGTATAGGTTGATTCACATGTTGACCTTACTGCATGAGATCCCTTCCAGTTCCTTTATTTCATGTAAAAAAAAAGCTGCACCACAGTCTTAATTGGCCTTGGCCACATGTGCTCATATCGTATGACTCAGACGAGAAATGGGCGTTGAGAATTGCATCAGAACAGAAGCAGAGCTCCTTTACTTGCGGGCGCTCATCCAGTAAGGGAGGCATCAAGTGGCTGCCCTCACCCCCCACCCCCCTAGACTGCCTACACTCTCCCCTGGCGCACAGGTTTCTCGAAGTACGGGACCCCGTGAGCCAGGGGGAGTGGAGGCAGCCTAGGGGAGGTGAGATCAGCACTTGACGTTGCATCACAATGCCCTCCCCTTACCGGATTGCTGCGCCTACTGCGTTATTATGCTGTCCTACTTCAGCACCTACGATCATTGACTATCCTTTTACCGAGGTTTGTAGTGAGTGAACATGAGCGTTGCTCGTTGAAAATCCTCTGACGATGAAAGCGGAGAGCGAAATGCCACTAATACTTCCTTTTGGATGGCGTGAAAGACATCTTAATTAAAAATGCAAGCGCCGTCGACCGTCTTTCATATGCAAAGAAGAGGATTACGATAAGGTGGAAAATGTCTTTTGGGAAAAGAGTGCTTGCTGCGGAACGTGTACGGTTTGAAATGGTTCCGGTGAAACGCTTGATTGATTTGTTCGCATTCTCATTTAATTTTGGTGTATTGTATCAATTTATCAAAGGCGTTTTTGGAATGTATAAGCAATACGAGCCACGGCGTCATGCCCATCATGACTGTGACGGGGTTTTGTGCGCCAGGCTGCAATTGCAGGCGCAGGGGTATTTGAATCGACTGCGTGTGAATTTGCTGAATGCCCCTGCAATTGAAAATCATGATTCAATGGCACAAATAATTCTCTATGAGTCACTTGAGGTTAAGAAGTCCTTTTGCCTAGGGTCGAAAAATGCATCGTCTTCCATATTTGAGAAATGGCTGGCGCGTGCAATACACGTTTTCTAGGTTGATCGCCCGAATTTCTAGAGAAACGCGGATGTTTTCTGCTGGAAAAACTGTAGAGAGCATACATATCAACCAGATTGGTGTGATTCTCTCCGAAAAATGTTAGCTAATCTTTCTACTGTTGACAAACAATATTCTGCAAATTCATAGTGTATGTGTTTCCGTGACGTTGTGCAAGGTAATCGACGAATTCGGTAGGTCCAGAGCATCAGCACAGGATGTAAGAAAGGGTACGGGCTTATTGGAATGCCCAGAAAATGGGATTGGACAAACGTGGAATGGTAGTGGATTGCTGAAGATTACAGGCGTGATTGCGTCTTTGTTTTGGTACATGACTTATAACCATTTTCGCCCGACTTACGTGTCTTCTTATCATTATTTCATTACTGTTGGTTAAAGGTGCCCTCTCTTGGGCAGAGACAGGAATGGGTGAGAACGACAAAAGAGGAATTTAGTCAGTGTTTCTTCATGAAAACGTTCTCAAGTTGTACACCATTGAGCGTGAAATTTTCCTATCTTCGGAACACTGATCTGAAATCCACCTTTCAAAATCCGCCTGTTTAGCAGTTATGAATGCAGATTTGAGATAGCATTTTAAGACAGCTAAGGAGTACACATCTCTTCTTAAATGGCCGTGGTGACTTGAAGGCGTTTCTTGGTCTGGCTGGCGTGTTCATGAGATCATTTTCCCTACTTGTCACGTCTCAATATACATTGCTATGGCTACGCGTTCATTAAACGTTTATCTGATATATCACATCCTTGGCCGAAGAGCTTGTTTGTTAAAGGCTCATGATATCATCGTCGAAGGTGGTGCAGGGGTGAAATGTTTTCCTGCTTGATGGAAGATATGTTTCATATATAAAAGGCATTTCATGAGATTTAAAAAATTGGAACTTGTTGACTATCGAGAATTTTTAGAATGTGTGCAAGCGAAGTTGCAAAGGATAGCGGATGAGTTATTACTTGTGCTTAGCCTTTGCGCTGAACAGAAATCTGATTCCTTGTAATGACGGTCATTACTCGTTTAAACCTTGAAAACAGGTCGAGGATCCTTGCGCGGAATCCAATTATAGACTAGCGACTCAATGAGAGGAGGATGGATGGAGATAATACAACAGTTTTTTGCAGTGAGAATTATTACAGTTGGTGGTGCGCAAACCGGAACCTTGAATAAGTTTTGTAGTATCTGTGCTACGGAAATCCCAAAACAATACATTTAGTTTTAAAGTCTACGAACAACTGGGTCTTATCTCGCAACAAGTAACCTCAGCAGACTGCTGGAGTGAAATTAATTCTTTGTGTATACCACTCTTTTTGCATAATTATGGATAAGTGCCCGACTTTGCATACTGTCAATGAATAATGAAATAGATGATCTGAAGCTACACACTAGCTACCATTGTTGCATGGTTGTCATGACAACTGGTTAGGCTTCCAACGCCAAAAATGCGAGTGGGCTGATGCAAAAAATTTGAGTATTTGCAGTGAAAAACCTTGTTGCTTGGCTTTCAGTTACAGAAATTGATTTTTATGCCTTTCTACAGTTTGTCGGAAAAGAAGCATCGTTGTTGTTCTGAGAAAGTTTACTTGCGCTTGCTCATTCATAATCAAATTTGAGTTGCTCCGGTTGAGTTCAATTCCTCAGCCTGCTTTCTCTTTATTTTCATGTTTTTGAGTTCTTCCTGACTTAAGTAGATGACATTATAATTATTGATATTTCCTTGTCGAGACTGGCTCAATTTCTGCTTGTACTAATTGTTGACGCCTTCGATCTTGTACTGTTCGGACAGTACTATTACTTCCATCATTTGGCGTGACATTCAATCTTATTGTTAAACACGTTGCTGAGAAATTCAGCCTCCTCAAGAAAATCTGAATTGAAGTAATTTTCAGCGCGATGACGGAAGTGTATGCATTGGAGATCTCATCAAATGTATCCGAGTTTCCATATGAGAAGAAGTACCCATCATCGCTCACTCTAGGCGAACTCAAGGCATGCCGTCAATTATTTAGGGCTTGATGTAGGATATTGGTCGGTTGCTTCATTGCTGTAGTAATCTAATGAGTTGATGATTGGCTGATTTAGAAGAAATTGGAACTGGTTGTTGGAGCCACTTCCGAAAACATCCATATCGAACTTCATGATGCTGAAGGCAAATTCGTCTCTTCACTAACGGATGCAGCTAAAAGCCTGAAAGAACTTGGAGTGAAGGATGGTTAGTGCTTTACACTTATTTATTAGTTGCTTTTCTTGTTATCGAAAAGTGTAGAAGTTGAATGTTTTAAGAACACGAGTGCTGCTTTAATAGCTCATGATAAAAAGCTTCAAATAAATATGTAGTTGAAGAGAGTACTAAAAGTGCTCAATGGATTAGAGGGTTAGATAGGTAATGAATCGAATTGAACAGAAGTGGTAGCTTACAGAGTGAGTGTTTTGATAAGTAATTCTAGCTATCTGTTTCATGCTGACTACTGCTACGTCTTCTTCCAAACAGTCACTCATTTGGTGTCGATGGTTTAATTTTCGTATTCAAGGTATGCGTCTACATGCCGTTGACATTTCTGGCCAGAATGCTGAATTGCAAGATGACAGTATGGTTGAGAAGTACACGATTAGCGATGATCAGTACGACAAACGTGAAGGTGAGGAACCAACGTCATGGAGAAGCCGCTGTAGTTGCGGTCAGCTTGCTTCTCAAAGAATGTGCCCCTCCCCACCCCCGTTTGAGAGAGCGTATCGGCAAGGACTTCTTTCGGTGGAGAAATTTGCATCACGGTGCAAGACCTTGACATTTTGTAAAAGGTCTAGTTAATTGTGGTAGTAATCATACCGCAGTTGTGCACGAACAGTCGCGTATTGTAAAAAGATTCGTAGGGAGGAAGGTAAAAGCAGATTCTATAGCTCACCCAGTACATAGGTCCTGATTTTTGAAATGATCCGGGCTCCTCTAATCTTTCCAGTCTTATTTCATTGGATTTCTTCCAGACAGCGTACGAGCATGGAAGAAAAAGTTGCTAGCTGAGGGCGCTGCGGGTCATGAGCACGCTACACCTGAACGTGGAGATATCAATGAGGAAATAGCCAAGAAAATAAAGGTGTGTTTGAGTTGGTTTAAGTTGGACTAGTCGAAATTCATGCACTCGTCGCGTTATTGTCATTCTCGCACTTTTTTCAAGCTTGGTCACGGTATTAATGGAGTGCCATTTTTCTCTAGATTTTCTTTTCTCTAGCAAGGCCAGCCAAAGTCTTAGTAGGTCAGCACGAGTTTTTGTAGTGCTGAAATATTTCTGATGAGTCACTCAGAGGCAAATTTGGCGTCTTGTGTTGGGAAATCGCTTTATGTTTCCAGTGGATTTTTGAAATACGCTTGCACATAGTGGGCCAGGGCGTAAAAAACGTTATTCTTTATCGGGCGGTCTGTCACGTCATAGTTGGTTAGTCGCACTGGAAGGCGGAAGTGAAATATTTGGTTAAAGTATCATAACCTCTTGAACAAGATTGTATTGAAAATTTGGGCTCCAGATTAAATTCCGAGCTCTTCACCTAATAATTCGAGCATTAATTCCTTTTTCAATAGCAGTGATGACTTTAACTGCTGCATCATCCCCCAGTTTTGGCGTCATTTCGTATCAGTTTTGCTGACATAACATCAAATATTAATAAATTACGCTTTCATCCTATTCAGTCGAATATGTCAAACAGAAGCCTTCCCATGTCGTCAGTCGTGCTTTTCTCGAATAATTGCACTTGAAGTTTTTTGCTCTGGCAGTGTCACTCTAGGCGGCGTTGTTAAATGTTAGCTATTATTGCAATGCTGAAGAAAGTGATTCTGCTGTTTAACAAGAGTTATGTGAATAGTTGAGCAAAAATTTCTTTTGAAGGTTGGTGATCGCTGTGAAGTGAGAGTTCGCGGTGCGATACCTCGTCGTGGAGTGGTGGCATTCGTTGGAGAAACGAAGTTCAAAGAGGGGCCTTGGGTTGGTGTTAACTACGATGAACCGGTCGGCAAAAATGATGGAGCTGTCGCCGGCGTCAGGTAAAAGAAACTGTTGGGCACTTTTTTATGCGACTTCTCAAGTGTTATGTTCTTATCATGGTCGAAGAAAGGTCGTTGAATCGTCTTAAGAAACAACGCTTATTGTTACTTGTTGTCAACATGCAGAATTTCCGCGAAAGTGCACTTTCGCGGAACTTTGGGAGTAGATAAGAGTAATCTTGAGCTTTACACCTTGTGGTGACTTTCTCATGAAATCCGGAAGGGGAAGTGGTCAGACCGATTGGAGTGAGGCCCAAATGAGGGTAAGTAAAATGTGATGTACCCAGACTACTTCTCAGAGATGCTATATGACTCTTTCAATTAATTTTCGGATTACTCAGCCCATTAACGTGAAATTTTTCTTATTCTTTCTTTCGAACCTATTGCTGTTATAGTTTTTTCAACCCATTAATCTCTCCCTTGTTAGAAGTGAGAACGCTCTAAATGCTGATGGTTATGAATATTCTTACGAGTTCACGTTAATTGTAACGGGCTTCATTCCCAGTACATTTGTATAAAAACGATTCCAGAATTTGCTTTCAGATACTTCCAATGCGGTGACAAGCACGGCGGTTTTGTACGACCTGTGGACGTGGCTACCGGTGATTTCCCACCGCTTACAATCGACGGCGAAATGGATGAGATCTGAGAGGAGTTCAGCCTGTGCGAGAAGCTTTGCGAACTGTTTCTGTTTCCATCATATTTGTGATTTCTCATTTGCTTAATTGATTTCCAATCTGGTAATTGCATGTTGTGAGTTTTATCATTTGGCTTGTTTTTTCTACCTTTATGATGCCACTGTCTCGGCTTTCATGCATGCAATGATTTATTGTAAAAAGCGAGTAAACATAAAACGCTTTCGAAACGAAACAGAACAGCAATATACATCACGCAGAACGTTGGTCGTCAGCCAGCTATACATTGAGTAGAGAAATTTCGTGGCGAATATTGAGTTTGTAAAAAAAATCCAAGGAACACGTATGGAAACTAGTTTACAGCTGTAATGTACAATACGAATAATGTGATGACGATTAAACATAGTTGCAGGGCACACTAGCGGATTCTTAACAATCTCGTTGTCTTATTGTGTCACAGTGTAATATACAAGGTATGTGATCTATGCGAACATTTTAGCTTTAGAACTGAATATTAATCATCACGAATTCGTATTCATGAAAGAAAGCAGTATGTGTTCTGCGCAATATTGTGCAGGCAATCAAGAGAGAAAAACGACTGTGGTCGCGCTTTGGACGATCCGTCCATTGTAGTAGATCAATCGCGACCCAATTGATGATTTTTACTGGTGAGGGGCACGTAGATAACGTGCTCGATTACCTTCTGTGTGACTTCACCTTCATCATCTTTGTCGACTTGTAGAAATACCTGAAACAGATTTTTCATAAATATGAAGGCAATTACACGTAAGGTGAGTATGACTAAGGACCTTACATGGACTCAAAGCCACAGTTCACGACCACTCCATGGTTTGGGCTATGATCAGAAAAAAAGCTTTTAAAGTAGCTAGGGTGACTCCTCTCACAATATGCCATCGTTGGTCCCATAACTCTAGTTTTTACGCCAGCTCGAAGCTTAAAGCCACGAGTCAGGATTAGGCAACCAGCAGAAGTTCTTCCCAGGGTGTGATAGTGGGCTCCCCAAGCACTAAGGGCACGACACTATCGCGACCCAAAAGTGCGCGGCAATGGCGCTAAGGCCTTGCCCGCCGCGCTGCCCGCGCTGCCAGCGTAATCCACCACGGCATACGTGGTCTCTGCGTCTATGACGTACTATCTCGCGTTCTCCCTCTCCTCGCAGCGCTGTGTCTCTCCGTCGTACTACGGCCGGCCTCCTAAGGGAAATTTAGTGTTTTCTATGGTGCTTTTTGCTTTTTCTCCTCACTAATGTTCCTCATTGCCCTTGCCTAATGTTTGAACAAAATAACGCATCAATTCAATCCTGACTCGTGCCTTTAAGGCAGGAATATTATCGGAGATACTTCGGGGGAGCATCTATTCTATGGCAGCCATATCAGCACGAGAGCGCTGAAAGACGAAAGCGCAGTTGGACAAACTTGCCGAATCCAAACAGCATGATGGATCATGAGGGCTCCTTGACCATGTCGACAGAGCTCAATATTAATCACTTGAAGGAGGGCAGCCCAATATGCAAAATAGTGAGAACGGCCATTACATCACAACATGCTTCTGGAGACTATTGGCCCCGTATGAGTTGTTCTGTGTTGGTCCTTTAGTCGGTTAACTATTATTTCTGTAGTAGTGAGATGAACTGTACCACCACACTCTTTTATCTTGGTTTCTAAGTTTATTTTACTTTTGCTTTCCGCAAGTTGTCGTGTAAGTGGATCAAATCGCCTTCAAATGCTACTACGACTCTGAACGGAAGCAAGTGCATCACACTCAAAAAGACGCATCAGTTCCAAATGTTTTGGCCTTTCACATTTGCTCAACAAAGGTTTTCACCTCCATGAATGTGGCCAACGGTCGCGATACACGTTAGTTGTGGTTTGATAAGTGATGCCCTAAGCAGGGAAATGAAACGTGAAATGGAAGAAACTCATTTCCCTGATCTTTTTTCAGCTAAAACTCCCATCCGAACTCACATTTATAGATGACTGAAAGTTTCTGCGATCACTAGCTCTACTGTCACCCACTGAGGTGTCTTCTTGATACCCTTCACCTGTTACGTGAATGATCAAGGCGGATCTGCCCAATGTTTTTGGCGTGAAGAGGTAGCTACGGTCGGATTTTAAAAGTACGTAGAGATCACGCAGTGTTTCGGACGCAACACCCTTTGCTTACATACTCACGGTGCCACATAAGACACGAGTGTCACATGTGCTCCGAGAGTCCAACGGCAATTTATTTGCCCTCCCCGAGGTTGGGGACATATCTTCAACCTCGGGGAGAGGGGATGGGTCCCCATCCCCTCGTTGGGGCTTGCTGCACCCGGCCCCAGAAAGCATAAGGTCGCGGCCCCAGAGCGGGTTAGAGCGTTTTGTCCAAAATTCTTTCTCCAGGTCAGCAGAGCTTAGAGAAGATGCCAAGCAGGAAAAGCTTACGTCCATTCTTTAGCCGAACAAAATTGTGTGAAACGAAGAGGTCTTTCATTCGGCTCTAGTTCACCTATACCCTGTTTCCAAAGACCAAATGCTCGTCGAGTGCAGACCATACACCACAAGTGACGGCCTCCACAAAATGTAAATGTTTTCTGCCAATGAAATGATTAGCCTGTTGCAGTTGTATTCTATCAGTTGTCACTAATTACAACTATCATTTACCAACTATCAGCTATCACTATGAACCACTAGTAACCAGATTTACTTGGAGGCCGTCGTCACTTGTGGTGTGTGGTCTGCACTCGACGCGCTTCTGGTTCTCGGAAGCAGAGAATATGTCTGCTCGATCCCGTCATGGATATCAGAGCGAGGGGTCGACCCTGGGTTTGTTCCTGAGAATTGAAGTCGTGAGAAAACCCATAAAGCTACAGAACTACAAAACCACCACAGTGGAGCGGGCACCCTTCCCATAACTTGACATAGGTTGCGGTGTACTGTAGTTGTTTTGCGGTTCCAACAATTTGTAAAATAAAAGGAAAATTTTATGTATGTGAATTGGGGGAATTGTGGAAAAAAATATTTAGCATCGTTATTAACGGCCAAAAGGTCAACTGCAGGTAAAAATGACTGGGCAAAGTAAAAATCAACATTGAAACGAAAGCACGCAGCTTTCATTCCAACGGCCTCATATTTTTTTGCTCTGAGTTCCTGAGCGTCATCTTTGCTGATCGATTATGCATCCATCATCTTCAAGAACATTACGCCATTACGAATTACTGTTAAGGAAATTTGCTTTATCAGATATGATTAATGGTGGTGAGGGATGTACTGAATCAATCATAAATTAGGAAACAAAATGTGCACGTCATTTCTCCATTGACGATCCATTCATCTTCGTTTTCAGCAAGGCACTTCCTTTTACTTTTCTATTGATCAAATTTGTAACTGATCACCACAAGAACTTTCCCACCGTTCTTGAGGCCTATTTGAAATACTGATAAACTTCGCGTATGTAACCGTAGAGTGCACTTCTTCAAGAAAAAAATATTCTAAGGCGCTTATTTCTGAAAGAA